CCCCCCCCCCCCGAAACTCTTTTCCGTCCCTCGTCTCTTGTCACCCTTTCTTTTCCTCCACACTCTCACACCCTCCCTCCATTCCTCCTTCATTTACCCTTTCCCCCCTCAAAGCCCAAGCACTCACTCCCTTGCTTGATGTGTGCATGCGCATGTGTTTGTGTATGTTGGATGCACATTTCATTGACAGGTTGAGACTATAATGGACTCAACATGAAGCTTTAATCCATTAACAATAGGATCCATTGGTCAGGAGGCCAGGGGGAGGCAGCTCTGTGTGTATGTGTAGTCTTGGGACGCAGGGACACAGGAGTGTTATGCAAGCAATACACACTCACAGTCTGTTACACACTTGTTCGTACACACAGGCTTTCACAGTCAATTACACACTGTGCACACAAACACACACACACTCTCACCCACACTCTCAGTACAGCCAGTGCAGCTTGTCAGAGCCAGGAGAGGGAGCACTGATAGATTTTGAGAGCCACTTAATGTAATCATCAACTTCAGAGGCATGTGTTTGTGTGTGGCTTTGACGGGCTTTGGTCAAGTGAGAAAAGAGGTTGCTGTTTAAGTGTTAGTGCTGCTTAATTCATGCTTCTGTGAACTATTAACCTATTTGCAAGTAGGAGTATGTTTTTCTAACCTGCTCTACATAGCTGAATAGCTCTTGTAATTAGTGGTAGACGGATCAGACACTTTAGTGAGCTTATGCAGGATGCATACACAACTGAGTGAAATCAGAACTGTAAATGGCAAAATTTGTCTTTATCCTCCAAATTGTCCTTTTTCTTTTTCATATTTTTATGAACGGCAGTGTTCTGCCCTTCTCATCCTCCTCGTTGCTTTAATTTGCAGAGTAACTCATTGCTGCCAGAAAGTCTTAGGAATTCAGATAAGCGACGCAACGGACCTGACTTCTCAAATGACACCAAAAAGCGAAAGGTGGATGACAAGGACTCAAGTCACTATGTAAGGAATCTCTCTGGTACCTGTGTCTTTAATGTAACGTGACAAAGGAAAAGCAATTCATTTGATTCATTCATTTGAACATATTTTATTAATTATACAGCCAGTCAATGGACTAATTTGATTATCTAACTGATCCTCTTCCTTAGGATAGTGACGCAGAGAAAAGTGATGACAATTTAGTGGTGGATGTCTCAAATGAGGTCAGTACATTTGAATATATTTTATAAATGTTAGTTTTTGTGCTGAGTCTGGTACATGCTTAAATTACTGCAGCAATGTTTACCAGCATGCTACGCTATCAATGGTCCATTTTTAAGATGTGCATCATATTCAGGTGTCTGTGGTCTTCTTCTTTCAAGGAGACTGTCAGATTGTATTAAGTTGAACTCCCAAATAGTTAACAGACTTCTTGTTACTTCACCAGGATCCAGCCTCCCCTCGTGGCACACCTCTTCCTTCTCCTAGAGAAAATGGCTTGGATAAAGCGCGTCTTCTCAAGAAAGACCCCTGTAGTCCAGCCTCTACTGCATCATCAGCCAGCTCCTCCTCCCTAAAGTCTAAAGAGATGGCAATGGTAGGAATGGAAAAAAAAAACTTATTTGTTTTATATAAATATACCCAGTAAATGGAGTGATTGATTGATTTATTGTATATTTATAATTATTCCTTGGTGTTTGGCAGCGAGATAAGGCAGGTACACCTGGGCTGAAGTCAAGCACACCCACGCCTAGAGGTGACTCCACCCCCGGGCCCAGCTCCACACCTGGAATCCGACCAAATCTTTCAAAACCCCCCTCAATGGAAATACCACATCCACCTAGTAAGTCATTTAAACTTACTACTTAATAAATAGTTATAAAATGATGTAGTTTTCTGTTAGAGGCAAATAAAATGACCTCAATACTAAGAGTTTGCTTGCTTCAGGCAGAAGTCTGCTCATTCAGTCAGTTTCATGGAAGATATTTAAAACCTTATCCTAGAGACAGCTTAATATAAAGTGTGACTGCAAGATATCTGGTTAGAAATCTCAGTTTACCTAGGTTTAAGTTCCTTTTACATGATAGCCTGGTCTGCCTGGTTGGCAGTAATGTCTGATAAGTGCGTGGTGAAAAAACGTAGACTTGCATTCTTAGACATTAACTAATTCTCTTGTGGTTGTTTCCAGCTGCAGGTTTGCGAACTCCCCTGGCTGTACCAGGTCCATATCCAGGTGCATTTGGCATGTTGCCCCACACAGCAGGAATGAATGGGGAGCTAGCTGGTGCAGCTGGAGCTGCAGCCTATGCTGCTGGACTGCACAACATGTCACCTCAGATGAGTGCTGCAGCGGCAGCTGCAGTGGCCGCATACGGGCGGTCACCAATGGTGAGTAGAAGAACAAGACTAACGTGATAAAATGAGGTGACTTTTTAAATCTGTGTATGTCTATGGATTGCATGCCAAGATAGAACTTTGGCAGAAACTCAGATGCTAGAGTTATGTTAGCCTGGTGTCAGGTTTGCACTTCTGGATTCTTTAGTTTTATGAATTTTCATGCCAGTGAATGTGTGTGAAAAGAACAGAGTGCATTTTTGAGTTCTGCTCCCTTCACATGAAACTTTTCAACTGTGCCTTTCTCTTTGCTATTATACCTGAAGCAGGTTGGCAGCAGTTGTTGTCACCTCTCAGCCATAAAACTCTGTAACCTGCTCCAGGCAGATTTTCATCTCTACCACATTCATGAACTTACACCCCTCTAAAGAAATAGTCATTATGTTGTAGTTTCCCGTGTCATGCATTGTAACTTAAAAGGGCATTTAAATACTCAAAGAATGGAATTTTTATTTTATTTTAAAGAAAGTGACATTAATCAATGTGAATACTTTAAAACAAGAATCAAAACAACAACAAAAAAATACTATTAAATTGTGAATAGTTGCAAAGCTTCATGTCCCTGCTTTCTTTTGGATAGTATTTATACAGATGGCATGCCTATGTGCAGTACATTCACCACATTACTCTTTGCTGTATTTGCATAGTGTTCATTACACTGTTTAAATAGCTTTAGTAGTCACACAGCAGTGTCTGAGCAACACTTGATAGCAACTCAGGTTGTGTACTTAGCAGCTGTGTGTGTGTGTGTGTTTGTTTGTTGGATGAGGATGGGGTGGGAGGCAGTCACAAATACCTACAGATCTGCCTGTGTGTGTTTGCTGTCTCTTGTAGTTGTCATTTAGAATAAGCAGTTTAATGTGTGCTTGAGAGTATGTGTTAGCTTTGCGCTCATGAGTGTTTATGCTCTTTTTCACAGGTTAGTATTGACCTGTGTGCATTCTGTCAATTCTCATGGGTATTTGTTAGTCCTGGGATTATAAAATGTCTGTTTTCTGTCCAAAAGGTTGGTTTTGATCCTCATCCTCACATGCGAGTTCCTGGAATGCCTCCTAGTCTGACAGGAATCCCTGGTGGCAAACCGTAAGTATAGTTGTAAAAATAATTAGTCTTATAATTACCATGATGATGGTGACAATGATGATGATTTCTTTTTCTTGATCCTTTTTCCTCTCTGTCATCAGTGCTTATTCATTTCATGTCGCGGCCGACGGACAGATGCAGCCAGTTCCATTTCCTCCAGATGCTTTGGTGGGGCCTGGGATCCCTCGCCATGCCCGTCAGATCAACACACTGAACCACGGAGAGGTGGTGTGTGCCGTTACCATCAGTAACCCCACCCGACATGTGTACACAGGAGGAAAGGGCTGTGTCAAGGTGTGGGACATTAGTCACCCAGGAAACAAGAGTCCTGTGTCCCAGCTAGACTGTCTGGTGAGTGAGGTGTATTGTTATGAGCTGGCTCATGGTTTGCGTAAAGTGAATAGCAGTTTACAAACACAGGAGAATTTTTCTCTATATACATAGCTTAAGTTTGAATCTAGGGGATAATTTGCAAAGGAATCAGCCGCCACAAGGGCAAGGCGAGTTGTAGCAGCAAATGAATTCTAACAAAACAAGTCTTCCCAGGCCTACCAGTTAAGACAGCAAAACTGCACCACCCAAAAGTTAATGTACTTTTGCTGCAAGGCCTGTTGAGGTGCAGAAGTGGAAAATATTTCCTGCCACAATAGGGTTTTGGACTAGCTCAAAAGAGGAGACCACATATAACAATGAGTTTATTTTGCAGAAGTAAAAGGGAAATTAACATGAGCACAAAACAAATCCAAACATAGAAGCTGTGAGGGGAGACTGGCATCAACATGCATAGCGGAGACATAACAGAAAACTGTTCTACAACACTAATTTGTTGTTATTCTGCCTGTCTGTGTTATTTGTGTGGTGACAACAGCTTCCCTTTTACCTGACCAGACTTGGTTTGACCACTTGGCAGTGTTTTGATGGTGATCAGTCCACATAACAAAAAGTATTTGACTGTTTGGACAGGCCAAATTTGTCAAATCCCATGAAAAATTTGCTTTACTTACTATACTCCTTCCGGGATAGGACTACAGTAATGGCCTCATAATATATAGTTCAGAGTATTAGTTTGAGGAACACTTGTTTGTCAGAAATTATCAGACTAGAATTTATGCTCTAAATTGCAGAATAGTGAATACTAAATGTATGTGGTGAATATACAACACAATAAAATGTTTTATATTGTACTAAATACTAACTTTTTTTGTACCTACCAAATTAGAACCGAGACAACTACATCCGGTCTTGCCGTCTTCTCCCTGATGGTCGGACGCTTATTGTGGGAGGCGAGGCAAGCACGTTGTCAATCTGGGATTTGGCCACGCCTACTCCCAGGATTAAAGCAGAGTTAACATCATCAGCACCAGCATGCTACGCTCTGGCAATTAGCCCGGACTCCAAAGTTTGCTTTTCTTGCTGCAGCGATGGAAACATCGCAGTCTGGGACTTGCACAACCAGACACTCGTTAGGTAAAAGATAACTGTATGCTTTTACTTCTGTCACTCTTCAGAAGATTGCTGCAAATAAATATATGCCTCTGCTAAATGTTAAGGACATCTACAATCACTGCTTGGCTTTTCTAATCTCCTCTAAGCAACAGATTTGACCTTTAATTTGCAGTCTCAGCCCCTGACTGATTTAACCTTTATGATTGTAGCACCAAGAGGCAGACAATCTAGTGTTAGTACTACAAAAGTGGCTTCTGATGAGAAATGCTGTAAGCACTCTCCATATGGTAACATGTGATGCATACCAACTGCCCTGTACAGCTCATGGTTGGTGCCTTGTTCCAAAATGTCTGTCTTTATTTAATTGAGAATGTATGTGTGTATCCCGCAGGCAGTTCCAGGGCCACACAGATGGAGCCAGCTGTATCGACATCTCCAATGATGGCACCAAGCTGTGGACCGGAGGCTTGGATAACACAGTCCGCTCCTGGGATCTGAGGGAGGGACGGCAGCTGCAGCAGCATGACTTTACATCACAGGTGCACAATCATACAGGCATTTGAACATTATTTCAGTCATTTACTTTAAAAAAAAAAAAAATCCACAAGTTTCAGTTTTTATTTTAAAGTAGCATCCCCACTAAAACAAAATCTGTGTGTATCAGTTGGTTAAATTTGTAATCCTGACAGGACTTATTAATATTTATTTTCTCTTGTGTTCAGATCTTCTCGCTCGGCTACTGTCCGACAGGAGAATGGCTCGCTGTTGGAATGGAGAGTAGCAATGTTGAGGTCCTTCATGTAACCAAACCGGATAAATACCAGCTTCATCTACATGAGAGCTGTGTGCTCTCCCTGCAGTTTGCCTACTGTGGTAAGCAACTTGCATATTAAATGAGCTGCAAAATAAAGGTGGAAAAAAACGTGGGCTTGGAATCCATTGTTAGGTGAAGACACCCCCAACCTAGTGGTTTCACTGAAGTTATGTCTGTACGTTGTATGTTCCATTCTACGGTGCTTTCATTTTTTATATTGTGCATGCTTGTATTTACTCTTCTACTAGGCAAATGGTTTGTGAGCACAGGAAAGGACAACTTACTGAATGCATGGAGGACACCTTATGGGGCGAGCATATTCCAGGTTGGTGGCAATTGATCAGTACATTCATTGTATTATATATTTACATAAATGACACAAAATGGGCTCCTTGAAAGTTGCTCCTTTGGCTTTAATAAACCACACTGCAAAATCCACCAGCACTGTTTTGCATCCATGCAGTAACTGAGTCAATGCTATGAAACAGTCAGTGCTGTCCAACAAAGGAGGTTGTTTAAAGAGAATTATACAGAAAAATGTGCTTATACTTTGAATATGATTACTGAGGTAAAAGCCTTGCAGTCTCACAGTCGCTCCCATATTACTTTCAGTACTATTCAGTAAATTTTAAAAGCACAACTTTACATTTGTTCCATACAAACACACATGAATTTATTTTCTAGTTTTCTTTTAAAACGTTTCATTATTGACTTTTTTTCCCCTATCTCTTTTTTCCTCAGTCTAAAGAATCATCCTCGGTACTAAGTTGTGACATATCTGTGGATGACAAGTACATTGTTACTGGTTCAGGGGACAAGAAGGCCACTGTTTATGAGGTCATCTACTAAATATATGGAAAGAAAGCTGGGACATTTCTTCTTTTTCCAATATGCTCTGTGTTTCTAGAAACACACCACAGATAAGGTGGACCTTGATGGCACATTCTTTATTCTGTTAGAAAACCTTCAGAGAAACACAAAAAGGAGACCCATGTTGTATATGCACTGATCTGTTGTGCCTGTGTACATGACTCCAACTCAGCTGGGAATAAACTGGAGCAAGTGGATGATAATGGAAGCACAGGAAATATTCAGATATCTGCTTACTGCTGGGGGCTAACCTGGGATCATTTACACGAATCAGAGAAGGACCAAAGGGGACTCTGAAACGAGCTCTTCAGACAACACTGCTGAACATCAGATATTGAAACACACTAAATGTCAGCGCAACTACATTTGGACAACCTCTCAGGCCTGCGGGGTGACTGTGTAAAAAAAAAAAAACGACAAATGGAAAAGGAAGAATGGACAAGAATTGGCATCATGTTGGAAAGATGGTAGAAAAAGAGGAACAACAGAATGGAGGGACATTTTCAAACAGTGAATGTGGAATATGTTGATTTGTGTTTTGGTTCAGAAGACGCTCACAGCCTTTCGTTCCTCTTAGCTATGGCTGTTTGACCTTAAAACCTCAGCTTGCTGTTCTGATACGCCTACTCTGTCTGAAAAGTACATTCTCTGTCTTTACCTTAAGTCCTATCCTCACTAACTGCACTGTAGTTGTAGCTTTCCACCTACACGCTGTACTTAACTACTTAAAATGTCCAAATGGTACATTTTTAAAACACGCTGAAGGCTATGATGACTTGTCTCACATTATGCTGCCACGAGTTTATTTGATCCTCATGTAACATGATAGGGTTTTTTTTTTTTTTAAAGATCCATACCAGTTTCAAATGGAAAAAGTAAAGCACTCAGCTATGTGAAGAAAAATTAGCATAACAATCCAGATAAGCTTCAAGAACAGGAAATGGTAATATGTTACAGAATGCTTAACTTGGGTTATTCTGAAAAACCTTCTTTCTGTGATCTTAATTTTAAAAAAGAAAAGAGAAAAAGGTGAAAGCAAGAGTGAAAACCTGGTGTTTTCAAAAAAGTTGATTAACTAATTGTCAAATTCTATTATTCCTTCTCTATTATTACATAGGTTTCATATATTTTCACACTAAAGTTGTCCTACACAAATGTATCTCCACAATATTGACAGAAATATTTAGATGGAGCTTTATTCTAACAAAAGCAAGGGGCAGGGGCATGGCAATAATAACAATATAGCAGTAATCTATGCCATCAGTGCATGTTGGTGGGTGTTTCCTTAGAGTAACCCCACAGTTAAGTCCCTTTCAGACATTAGATACACAGCATTACTGGCTTCATCATACTGGTAAAGTTCTGTAGGTCCCTCTTTGTTTCTCCCAGGTTGACTACTTTGGGGTAGTGAAGTGAGTATAATGACTTTAAAAAATATATTTGGGGTTTATGTTCTTTGACTTGTAGGGTGTGGGCATTGGTAAAGTAAACACGAATTCATTCAGACATGATATATGCAGATTTCCGATTTGAGTTTTGCAATATGTGCAAAAGATTTATTGCACTGGCAGTGTTAACTCTAGTGTGGTTACATTTGGATGTTTAAAACTCCCTGTCAGTCACTGAAAGGGGTTCGTGTGTGTGTGTGTGTGTGTGTGTGTGTGTGTGTGTGTGTGTGT